TGGAAAAACAGGCTTTACTGAGAATTGAATGGGGGGTTGACCACATGCAAAATAAGTGCCTTAACCCTGTACTGTTTCTCTGACCCTACAGTTACTTTCCCTACTGAAGTCCGGAACTCCTGAAAATCGTCCAGAAGGGTTGTAGTCAACTTCTTCTAGGCTCCTGTTAATGTTATTTTGACCTTCTTTCTACTGCGTCTCATGAACTGATGGCCTTCATGGCGTCTGGCGTGGTGAAGAGGCTTTTCATTAACTTTGCCCAGACCTATGAGAGTAACCTCTGTAGTTCAATGAAATGTAGTTCTTAATGAATAAGACTTGAAAGTTGAAATGACTCTTTTTCTTTTTTCCCTCTTTGAAGATTTATTTATGAGTCTCCAGAGCGAGGCTGGTAGAGAAACTTACATGGTGGTGGAGTTGGTTCATGGGTGTGACTGCTGGGGCTTCCGGAAGTACAGGGAAGCTAATGGCAACTCTGAGAAAGCCTGGGGATTTCAGTCACAGGGACCTGTGTACCTGAGTTTTTTTGACAGATTAATTTCTCTGTGAAGCTCAGTCTTGGGATGACAGAGTCCGGCTGGAGGCACTTGGAGAGAGGGAGTGAGTGGCTGCCGGGGCTTTGTTTGGGCGGGCCCTGGCCCACTCTGCTTTAGAGTGTCTTGAGTGTCTCAGCTGGAAACAGGTATCTGAGAAATTTTTGCAACTAGATGATCTCTCTGAACAGACTGATTCATGAGCTGCAGAGTAGATGCGTTAGCAGGCATGCCATTACCAATCTTTGACATCTCCAGAGCTTGGTGACTAGGTGCATTGTCATTGAGCAGTAATGAGTTTTTAATTGTTGTTTTGGAGACACTCCTAGCGGTGCTCAGGGCCTACTCCTCACTCTCTGCTCAGGGGTCACCCCTTATTGGTGCAGGGGGATCATATGGGCTGCCATGGATAGAACTGGTTTTGGTTACATTGCGTGCAAGCACTTCACTCTCTCTGTATTTCCAAAGTGCCTTTACCCTCTGTGCTCTCTATCTCTGGATTTCTTTCAGATTGGTCATTGAACACTGGCTTCAATTTAAGGTTATCAGGTACGTTAGCACCTATCAAGAGAGTTAACTTTGTTAAATGTTATTTTTTTTTGTTTGTTTTTTGGTCTATACCCAGTGGTGCCTAGGGCTTACTCCTGACTCAACCTTCAGGGATCACTCTGGGCAGTATTTGGAGACCTAGCAGGCTCAGGGGACTATATGGGGTGCCAGGGATTAAATCCAGGTCTGCTGCATGCAAGGCAAGGCCCTACCCACTGTACTCTCTCTCCAACCCATATTTTACTTTCTTATCATGTTCACTGGAGTAGCACATTTAATTTCTTTCCAAAATTTTTTCTTTGGGTTCAGAAGTTGGCTAGCTGTTTGGTATATAATATCTCACTTCTTTTTTCATTTGTTTTTATTTGGGGGCCACATGCAGCATTGCTCAGGGTTTAGCCTTAGATTTTTACCCCTGGCTGCAGGGGAGTTACCATATGTGGTGTTTGTGATGGTACCCTCATCAGGTATGTGCAAGGCAAGCACCTTCTCCACTGTACTACTCTCTGGCCTGAACCTTGCTTCTGGACCATTTTAACTTGACGTGATTTGTTCACTAAGCCTAATTTTTTTAGCTTTTGATTTAAAGTGAAGCACTCTTCCTTTCACTTGACCATTAAGACAGTTGCAAGGCTATTAACTGTCCCATTTTTCAGTATTGTGTCTTAGGAAACGGAGGCCTGAAGAACAGGAGGCAGTGGAACAGTGGGAACACACTCATTTGTCATTTAAGTTCCGTATCTTACGTGATTGTAGAGTGTGGGTCTCCAAACAATTACGATGCAGATCACTGATCACAGAACACCATTAATGTAAAAGTAATGAATAGATTTTAAATTTCATGAGAATTAGAAAATGTAACAGACATAAAATGAGCACACGCTTGTGAACATATGGCATCGATAGATGTGCTTGGGGCTGGATTGTCACACATCTTCAGTTTGTGAAAAACAGTTTCTGGGAAGTGCAATAAAATGCAGAGCATAATAGAGGGAGGTATGCTTGTGTATATATAGAATATCTGATATCATATGTGGAAATTCTCTTGGTAAAATGTCACCTCTACAATGTTCATTTTGGGAACTTGTACTCTCTCCAGGCCCCACAGTGAACATTTTTGAGGTGGTTAGGTAACTACTTTTTTAATGGGTAGGCACTGTCAAGGGACACAGAATTGAACAAGGTCTGGTTCCCGGCCTTAAGGAATTTAATTAAACTGAAAGTGAAGCAGATATCTTTGGAAATAAGATGTCCCTGGACTTGAAGTAGAATGGGATATGATTTTGTAAGGGCAGAGTAAAAAATTACAGTTTATTGTTGAACTGAAAAAAAAATTGTATTGAGTTTTCTTTCCTGTCTACTTAAGAATACTTACTTGTTTTCATTGCGGGGGATTAAATTCAGGGACTCATATATGGGTAGCATGTGCCCTTTCACTGAGCTACATCCCTGGCCAAGAACACCTAATTCTACCCTATACACATTATCAAGTTTTGGTTGCAATCTGCCGTGTGATATTGCACACACATGTACAAAGGTGTGAAACTACTTCTGACACTTAAATTGCTGTAAAACAATGGAATCTCAAGAAGCACCAACCACAGACCTTTATGTCGCTCCAGCTTCTGCTACCCAACCCTGCAGTGAGCATGTTTGTGTGCATCACTCAGCTGGTCTGTGTTCAAAGAATACAAATTCCTAATAATGCTAATCCTTGGAGGATCCTCAACATTGTCAGACAATAAAATAAAATAATTAAATATTTTTATATTATGCTCTAATTTGCCTTATTTTTAGCCCAATTAACTGCAAAGTTCTTGAGAGATGAGTTTAAATTTCTAATTCTTAGTGTTTTGTTTTCTTACATCAGTAGAGTTTGGAGGTTGACATTTTTTGGATGATTTTTTTTCTGTCCAAACTCTTTTTGTACTTTGTGACAAGAATTTCTTTTAGACTTAGGTATATGATCTTTGGGGAAAGGAAAGGCAGGCAAAGTGGGCAGATACATCTTTATTACACAGAAAAATTGATGTAGCGAAAGACCGGGACTTGTACAAGGAAGGTATGTAGATGAAGTGTTGGTTGTGGAACTTACGAAACAGACACTTTTCCCCTCTCTCATGTGGGTTGTGGAGTGGGGCAGAAAGTGGAAGAAGGATTTCATGAAAGAGTAGCATTGGCACTCATCCTTTGAAGGATGAGTGCCATTTCAACAAGGTGAGAATGGAATTTTCTGCTGAGGAACAAGAGACTAAGTTGAGAGAAACTTGATACTTGGTTTTAACCAAGATATATCCAGAACTTGCTTTTAACTGTGCTGATCTACATCTGCACTTTTTCTTTATATAAAGATTACTCTGAACACAGAGAGTTCTTTCACAAACCTTAAAATGACAAGTAAATATTGCTTTTGAATTTTCAGGTATACTGAAAAAGAAAACTATGTTTTGAAATGGGAGCATTTTGATAAAGATGTGTTAGATTTTTTGTTTGTTTGTTTTCGGGTCACACCTGGCAATGCTCATGGGTTATTCCTGGCTCTGTGCTCCAGGATCACTCCTAGTGGTACTTGAGGGACCTTAGAGGTTGCCAGGATTGAACACCCCAGGGATGTGTGCAGAGCAAGCATCCTAACTGCTATACTAGTTCTCCAGCCTTCAGAAATGTACTTTTTTTTTTTTTTTTTACTTTTTTTATTGAATCGTTGTGAGATAGACCATTACAAAGCTGTTCATGATTGGATTTAAGTCAGACAGTATTCCAAGAGAAATGTCACTTTAGAAAAATTTATTTTGCATCCCATTACTTAATATTCCCACTTAAGAATTATGCAGTCCATTCATGATGCAGGGTTTTTGTTGTTGTTGTTGTTTTGTCTTTTGGAGTCATACCTAGCCTGGCTCTGCACTCAGAAATCATTCCTGGCAGTGCTCAGGGAACCATATGGGATGCCAGGGATCAAATCCAGATCCGCTGCATGCAAGGCAAATGGCCTCCCCACTGTACTATCGCTCCAGCCCTGTGATGGGGTTTTTAGACTACCCGGAATGCTCATGTCCTCCCTTACCATCTTGACCTTGTTGCTTATGCAGGGAACATTGTATTTACCTCCTACCAACTCCTCCTTAATCCTTCAGAGAACACATCATTTATTTTGTTTTGTTTTGGGGCCACACCCAGTGCTGCTCAGGGCTTACATCCTGACTGCACTCAGGGATCACTCTTGGCACTGGTAAGGCTTGAGGACCATATGTGGTATTAGGGATCAAACCTGGGTTTGCAAGCAAGGCAGGTGCCCTACCTGCTATACTATTGCTTTGCCTGGCTCTGTGCTCAGAGATCATTCCAGGAGGTGCTCTGGGGCCCATTGGCAGTGCTGGGGATACAATAGAGATAGGACACTGCACAGGGCACTTGCCTTGTATGCAGCTACCTGGGTTCAATCTCCGGCATCCCTCAAGCACCACTAGGAATAATTCCTGAGTGCAGAGCCAGGAGTAAACTACTGCACATTGCTGGGTGTGGCCCCAAAATTGAGAAAATAAATTGAGAAAACAGAAGTCAGTGATATGCAAGGTGAGGACTGCCCTTATCCTCTGTGTTATCTCTAGAATGGAGAATCCATCTTAGACACATCTCTGGAAAGGCATTCTTGAGTCTACATACGCATTTTATAGTCTTAGCTGTGTGTCCCTCTCTCCCAGTGCTTGCCCATCCTGATAGAGCTGATTTTGTATATTGAAATGGTCTGTTTACTTGTCTAGACCAGACTTTGACCTTTTCTGAGGGTGGGAACCGGATCTTACTTGTTCTGTTTCATAATAAATGCAGCAAATACTAGTTGAATGAGAGTAGCTTTATGTGAAAAGATTTAATCAAAGTAACTAAATCCATTTACTGCTTGGGATATTTTTGCAGACGGAGCTTTGTATTATGTTTGTCATCATAAATCTACGTTTTCTTCTCTCCCAGATGACTATAATTGGTATGTATTAAAATTCAATTGAAAAAAAATAATAGTCTGTTAGCTGTATTTAAAATGATTTAATTTTCCAGTATTGTCTGTTAATTTTTTTCTAATTCTTTAATTTTGTTTTAGATTTTTTTTCAATGCCCTAAATTATCTATTATCTGGGCTTAAAATGTTTTAAACAAAAATCATTATTATTGTGTTTTAGTGAATACGAATTTGTTATAAGACTGATAATCCTGTTAGAAATGCTGTTTTTCTTCCTGAGGCATTCTTTAGTTTTCTAAAAAAAGTTAATTGGTTTTTATAGTTTTTTTCTTAGGGTTCTTATCTATTAGCTTAAGCAGTTACTTTTATTTGACATTGAATAGTCCCAAATTACAGATATTTAATTCAACCATAATTTGTGTGCTACTTATTCAATTCTAGTCACTGTGAAGAACTAGGTTGATTATGAATAAGACATCTTTATCTCAGTCTCATGACAGAAACTGAGTATTTTTCCATTTTTTTCCTTTTTTTTTTAAAGTTTTTAGTCACACCCTGCAGTTCTTAAAGGGTTACTCCTGGCTCCACACTAATGAATTACTCCTGGCAGTGCTCGGTGGACCATATGGAATGCTGGGGATCAACCCCAGGTGGGCTACATGCCAGGCAAATGCCCTACTTGTCGTACTATCCTTAGGGACCCAGAAACTGTGTGGGGGGTGGTTTGGGCCACAGGCTACTGGTGCTCAGGATTTACTCCTGGCACTGTACTCAGGGATTCATCCTGACAGGCTGAGGAGACCATTTGGGGTGCCAGAAATCAAATGTCAGTCTTCTGCAAGGCAAGTGCCCTGCATGCTGTACTTTTGCTCCAGCCCCATTGTAGTAATACTATTTTCTTTCCTCTTGATACTAGTCTTAATTGGAGGTTTAATTGTACCTTTAGTAAGTGCTAAAATAGTAGTGAAACTAGAGTAGGACTTAGGTAATACTTTTGAACCTATTCAAATCTAGTTAATAGATTTCATCTTATAGCTGTTCTAAGTTCCCCATCTTTCACTGGGCATCACTCCAGAAGCCAGAGAGCTAGCTGTGTGAACTTGGTGCAGGCTCTGCATGTATGAGACCCAGGTTTTTTGTTTGTTTGTTTGTTTGTTTTTTTACCTTTTTTGGGTCATACCCGGCGATGCTCAGGGATTACTCCTGCCTCTGTACTCAGGAATTACCCCTGGCATTGCTCAGGGGACCATATGGGATGCTGGGAACCGAACCCGGTTCGCCCATGTGCAAGGCAAATGTGCTATAGCTCCAGCCCCGAGGCCCAGGTTTCATCCCAAAGAACTACATGGTGTCCTGAGTATCACAGGAGTGACCTTTGAGCACAGAGCCAGAAGTAGCCCTTGAGAACTGCCAGGTATGGCCCCCTCTAAAATAATAATAATAATAATAATAATAATTCAGTAGCTGAAATGTGTGTTTGGTCATGTAATGGTATTCAATCCCAAAATCTTTGTGAAAGAGCCTTATCCCATGATAGCTTAAATACACTCTATGGTTTAATTGCTGATTTACAAAAATACTTACTTTTATATTTTGGTTTTTGGGCTACACAGAGCAATGCTCAGGCCTTTCTCCTGGCTACATCCTAAGGGTCATCCTGGGAGTGTTCAGGGACAATTGGTGCTGGGGATTGAATTAGGTTCAGCTGTGTGCAAGGCACGTGCCCTACCCACTGTAAGATCTCTCCAGCCCTAATTGCTATTTTGATTCAAGTCCACTTGGCCTTAAAAATCCTAGGAACTTTAGTTAGTAGACATTTAGAGAACCATGAGTTTATTTTTAAATATTTATTTATTTATTGGTTTTTTGGTCACACCCAACTGTGCTCAGAGCTTATTCTTTACTCTGTACTCAGGGATCACTCTTGGCAGTCTCAGGGGACCGTATCAGGCGCTGGGGATTGAACATGGGGCCAGCTGCCTATAAGACAAGCGCCCTACCCACTCTACTGTTGCTCTGGTTCCAAATGAGTTTAATAAAAGCTGATAGCCTTTTTATTGCTTTTTGGGACACATCCAATGATGCTCATGGGTTATTTCTGGTTCTGCACTCAGGACTTAATCCTAGTGGTGCTTGGGGGACTATATGGCATGCTGGGGATCGAACCCGGGTGGACTGCGTGCAAGATAAATTACCTACCCATTGTACTATCGCTCTGGGCCCCATGATAGTCATAGTCTTTAGAATGTGTGTGGATGCTATAGTAGCTACCAGGGTCTTTGAAAAAAAAAAAGACAGAATCAGTTGGTGCCTGGAAGAAGTAGTTTTGTCTATTTGTATTGTTTGGGGGCTATGTTGTAGCTAGGAGAGCTCAAGGTCCACTCCCAGCTTGGTGCTCAGAGGTCACTACAGGCAGTACTTGGGGGACCAAGTACAGTTTTCAGGGACTGAACCCCATGACTCTTGAAAAGCATGCACTGGGCTAGTTCCTTGGCCCTATTCAGGGGATTCTTTATAACTGAGTATTACATACTTGATGGTCTTCAACTTGAATGATTCAGCCATGTTTTTCTTACAATTTTTTGTTGGGGCCACATCTAGTGGGGACAGGGGCAGAGCACTCCCAGCAGTGCTTGTCTTCAGCAGGGTTCCCCTCTGTGGCCCCCGGTCCCCATCACCCCCATGGTGCTGAAGGAGCCATGCGGTGGTGTTGGGGATAGAACACTCCCTCGCTCATACATACATACTAGGCAGGTATTCTTACTACTTTAGCCCTATCTCTGGCCCTTTTTCAACCTTTTTTTTTTTTAAATTCCGGGGTGGTTGGGGAACCATGCCCAGTGTTGCTCTGGCTCTGTGCTCAGGGGTTGCTCCTGGCAGGCTCAGGGGATTTTACAGGATGCTGTGGATTGAACCTGACGAGCTGTGTGCAAGGCAGATGCCCTGCCCCTGTCCTATCACTCACGCCCCCATTCATTCAACCTTCTTTTTTGTTTTGTTTTGTTTTGGGGCCACACCTGGTAGTGCTGAGGGCTTTCTCCTGTCTCTGTGCTTAAGGAATCTCTCCTGGCGCTCTCAGGACCGTATGGGATGCTGGGGATCAAACCTAGGTTGGCTGCATGCAAGCGTCCCACCTGCTGTTCTGTCTCTCCAGCCCCATTTTTTTAAACCTCTGAGACCAGTATTTAGATAAGGAAGAGAAGTTTTAATAATTGTGATGAAGCATGAAGGTCTTTTCCAAAGATTTGGATGGTTTAAAATGGAATGATTTGGAGACTAAGATAAATGAAAGAGTGGGTATATGTTAAGGATTTGCTGTTGTACTTTGGCTTATTTTGTGGGATGGTCTGAGTTATCCTTTATAATGCAGGGAGTAGAGTTTCTAGGCCAGTTATCTGTCTTCTTTCCTTCAAGGATTCATGATTAATTAATTTCAACTCTTAAGAATATTTATTCTGCTTTGAATAAACTCTTAACTCTGTATCTAAAACATTCATTTTTTAGCAAAGTTGAGCTTGCTTTGACATCTGATGGGAGGACGATAGTATGCTACCACCCTTCTGTGGACATTCCGTATGAACACACAAAGGTACGTATGGGGAAACCTCTTAGAATCTTTTATTTGCTGGTGGAAACATGCATTCTTCCGTATGATATGCAGAGTTTGATATATATGTGTGTGTATTTTGTTTGTTTGTTTTAAATCGCTTTTGCTTTTTTTACTTTTTCTTTTGAGCTATTCCTTAATTTTTTAAAATTATTTTATTTTATTTCATTTTTTAAAAACCCTTGTAGGTAGACTAGAGATCACACATGGCATAGGTGAGGGTCTTGGGCACTTTGGTGGTGTTAAGATGAGGTAATGGTGTACAGCAAGGTCATAAATGTCAACACCATGGTAAACAGATTGCCTGGCTATAATCAGTTAAAACAGTAAATTCTCTTTGCTTTTGCTTCTGTTGTTATTGGGATGACAAAGAGTTGCTCACAGGCTTAGTTGTGTCACTCGCTGGGAATCCCACGTCTGGTTCTGGCGTTCACACATTTGGCTATGGTGCTTGCTGCCTTTTTGTTTTGCTTTGTTTTGGTTTTAGATTTTGGGCCACATTCAGTAGTGCTCAGGGGCTTGCTTATTCATAGCTCTGTGCTCAGGTATGGTGGGCTTGATGGACCACATGGAATGCTGAGGGTGGACTGAACCTAGGTTGGCCACGTGCAAGGCAAGCACCTTCCCTATTTTACTACCTCTACACTCCCTGAGTACATTCTTGGCTGCAGTGCTTGCACACCTGCATGGGGTGGGTGGCACTCTTTCAGCTGTGATCACGTACATTCTGGTTGTAGTGTCCACACCACCATGCTCACACCTGCTTACATGGATCCTGACAGCCGTACTTGCACATTTTGTTGTTGTTGTTGTTGCAGAGTTCCCAGGGATCAAATACTTTTATTTATTCATTTATTTATTTTTTAAAAAGACAAATTGCTATAGATGATGCGCTAGAGTTTCTGGTGTGTGTGTGTGTGTGTGTGTGTGTGTGTGTGTGTGTGTAGCTTTTTGGGGTCACACCCAGCGATGCCCAGGGGTATCCTGGCTCTGTACTCAGGAATTACTCCTGGAAATGCTTGAGGGACTATATGGGATGCTGGGGATTGATTGAACCTGGATTGGCCACATGCAAGAAAACCGCCCTATCCACTGTCCTATCACTCTGGTCCCAAGAATCAAATACTTTTAGACGCCATGCTCACACACTTCTGGCCACAGAATGCCGAGGCCCAGCAGTGCAGTTGCCAGACTGTGCTTAGCACATTGTCAGTAAGGTAGAGGTTGAACTTGAGGCCTCCTGGTTGCAGAGCAGCTGTTTTTTTGGCACTGAACCATTTCTGAGCCCCTGGTTTTGTTTTTGGTCGTTGGACTGTACCTCGTGGTACTCAGGGCTTAATCCTGTGCTCAGGGATCAGGGGATGCTGTGTGGTGCTGGGGACTGAGCTGTGTTCAGCAGCATACAAGGCAAATGCCTTAACCCTGTACTATCTCTCCAGACCCATTTTCTTTTTTAAGTTTTGTTCGCCACTAGCAACAAAATGAAGCATTTAAACATTGCAAACATCACTTTCTGGTCTAATATTTAGTAGATTTCTGACAGGGATCATGTACTAGAGACTAGTCTTTATAAATGCATTTTCCCTGGTACTAGAGAAATAGTACAGGGGTAAAAGCTTGCCTTGCACACAGCCAGCTGTGGTTCAATCCGCTGCACTGCAGAGGGTCCCCTGAGCAGGAGGGATCCTAAAGCACAGAGCTAGGAATAAGCTAGGAGCACCACTGCCCATGGCCCAGACAACAAAACCAAAATGCATTAGATTGTTCCAGACTACTCTTTGTTACAAATTTTGAAAAACTTGTATTTTTACAGTGGTGTTCCATAATATTTTTTTGGTTATATTATTTTTGTTTGTTTGTTTGTTTTTTGTTTTGTTTTTGGGCCTGGTGATGCTCAGGAGTTACTCCTGCAATTAGGTATTACCCTCCTGTGCTCGGGGGACCAGGTGGGGTGCTGGGGATCAAATCTAGGACATTCCTGATATTCTTTTGTTTGGCCCTTGGTTTTCTATTTGTTACTATAGTTTCCACATCTGGATGACCAAAGAGGGGCCAGGGCCACTTTTTGGGCATCATCAGGAACACTACCACTCGAGCTACTCCCAGATTTCCGTTTTTTGTTGTTGTTATTGTCCACCCCCCCCCCCCCCCCCTTGCGTTTTGGGTCACAGCTGGCGATGCTCAGAGGGTTACTCCTGGCTCTGCAATCAGGAATTACTCCTGGCGGTGCTGGGGGGATCATATGGAATCTGGGTTGGCTCTGTGCCTGATCCCTGTTTTTATTCTAATATATTGTATTTCACTCAAACTCTACTGTTTCATATTTGAAATAGTTTCTATGGGGAGGGGCGGTTTGGAGGGCACACTTACCCGTGCTCAGGGGTTACTCCTGACTCTCCACTCAGAAATCACTCCTAGCAGTGTTCGGGGGATTACATGGGATGCTAGGGATTGAACCTGGGTCAGCTGCGTGCAAGGCAGGTGCCCTATCCTCTCCTCTGTACTATCTCTCCAGTCCCCTTGAAATAGTTTCTTTTAGTTCTTTAAGCTTGAGAATAAAATATTTTCTTTTACCGGGTTTCTCAGTCTCATTTAAAAAAAAACACTAAATTAATATTCTTAAATATCACATAAAATGTAGGCTTGATTTTCCCTTTTTTTTTCCTGAGAAGTAGGACTGCAGTTCTAATGGACCATTTGGTTCTCTGGGCTCTGGAAACCATATTTCATACAAAGAGCTTGCCTGGTTGTTGTAGAATAATAACTGAGACTGGCTTAAGATATGTCTCTTTGTATTTTGGTAGTCTGCATATTGTTTTCCAAATCAGGTAAAAAGATTCTTATCTTTGTGTCAGGTTCATTTTATTACAAATATTAATATTCTAAAAATTGTTTTTCTAGGATTTGGTATTTTTAATTCAGGAAGATACTGTAATTTACAAAGATACTGTCCTCCCGTTTTTCATTGATTTGCTCGAGCAGGCCCAGTAACGTCTCTGTTTTTGAGACTTGTTACTGTATTTGGCATGTTAAAAACATCAGAGGTAGCTTGCCAGGCTTTGCTGTGCGGGCGAGATACTCTCAATACCTTGTCGAGCTCTTCGAGAGGGGCAGAGGAATCGAACCCGGCTCGGCCCTGCTGGCTGCGTGCAAGGCAAATGCCCTACCGATGTGCTATCTCTCCAGCTTAATTCAGGAAAATAAAGGTATTATACTGAGGGCAAACTAAAACACAAAAACACCGAACAGTAGTTTAGAAAGATATAGCAAAAATGTAAGTACTTTTTAGTGGCTGTTTTAGTGAAGAACTGAAATGTCAGACTTTGAAAATTTTTAATAAAACAGTGGAAATTCAGGATGACATTTGTGAATGCTTCATAAGGTTGACATTCAGTTTTATTTCAGCTTTCACTTTTTACTGAAACATTTATATACCTTTCTTTGAAGTTTAAGTAAATCAAACATGTCCTAAAAACTAGTTGTAAGTCTTATGGAGGCTTTTGCTAATGATATAAAAGAATCTATAAATGACATTATTTTTTTTATCTCTGGAAAAATTGTTTTTAATCATATGAAACAGGAAATTTCTAGTGTATTAGAATTGAAACTACTTTGGAATGGGAAGAGAGACAGTGAACATTTATTAATACTTGAAAATGACTTATTTAAAAAAAAATTTGGGGAGGGGTGGGCACACTGGAGGTGCTCAGGGCATACTCCTGGTGGTGTTCTGGAGACCATGTGAAATTCTAGGTCTGCAGCCTGCAATAACCGTGCACAAGACTAACACCCTGCCCACTGTACTCTTGCAATGACCTGAAAATGACTTTGTAATACTAAAATATTCAGCCTTTAGCAATAGGTATAAATAGCCTAAAGGAGAGAGAAAATATGAAATGCTCTCATCTCATATTTGCTAGTACCTTTCAAGGTCTGGTGATAATTTGCAGATACTTGCATTTTCACTTTATATACAAAGTTTTTTAGAAATTATTTTTTGTACCGTTTAGTTTGAGGGGTGGTTGGGAAAACGGAGACAATGGTGGCGGGAATGGTGACAGTGATGTTGGAATTGGGGTTGGAATGTTCAATGCCTGTAACAAACCATCATGAACAGCTTTGTAGACCATGGTGTTAAAGTGGGGGAGAAAAAGGAAATTTCAATAAAAGGATTTTCAATAAAAGGATTTTTATTATATCTTTAATTTTATGCAAGGTAGAGACTAGACAATGCTAAACAAGAATAAGCATAAAATCTAGTTTTGAAAATAAAAAACTAAGGTACTAACTATTGGGGGAGAACCGACTTTATTTATATTTGGGTGGGGGCTTTATTGGGTGTCACACCCAGTGATGCTCAGGAGTTAATCTTGGTTCTGCAGTCAGCAATAACTCCTGGCGATACTCGGAAGACCTCATGGGATGCCAGGGATTGAACCTGGGTCACCTGTGTGCAAGGCAAACACCTGACCTGCTATACTATTGCCCCAGCCCCGAGAACCAACTTTAAGAAGGAACTTGATTATTGGAAAATAAATCCAAAACTTGATGTAAGAAGAAAAATATATGGGATTCCTTAGTGACTAATATAACTAAGTACAATACTGGTGGGCTGGAGTGATAGCACAGCGGTTGGGCATTTGCCTTGCACGCAGTCAATATGGCCAACCCGAGTTCGATTCCTCCGCCCCGCCGAGAGTATCTCGCCCGCACGGCAGAGCTTGGCAAGCTACCCATGACATATTCAATATGCCAAACACAGTAACAACAAGTCTCACGATGGAGACGTTACTGGGCCCGCTCGAGCAAATCGATGAACAACGGGAGGACCGTGACCATGACAATACTGGTAAGGGCTTATTTACCCACCAGGAGGTACTCTTATGAATGACTGAATGTATTATTTATTTTATTGTAAACACAATCAAATGCTCACTAATGCTTTTACATTTTGATGCTTAATTTGAGTTATGATTATTTTGTAGCCTATTCCTCGACCAGATCCTGTGCAAAATAATGAAGAAACACATGATCAAGTCCTAAAAACCAAATTGCAAGAAAAAAGTGAATATATTGAACAAGGACCTATGATAGAACAACTTAGCAAAATGTTTTTTACTACCAAGCACCGTTGGTACCCTCACGGACAGTAAGTTCTGTTTTCTTTTCTTCTCCCACCCCTTTCAAAGGAATACATAACTACCCTGCATGAACAAATTTCTGAGGCTATTTTTGGCATGGGAACATTGGCACCCACTTCAGATATATATTGAATTATATGTTGGGGGGGGCAATACTCCGGTTACTCCTGGCTCTGCCCTCAGGGGATCACATGGGATGCCAGGGATCAAACCCAGGTTGCCATGTACAAGGCAGGTACCTTACCCGCTCTTCTCTTATCTCTGGCCCCCTGAATTGTTTTTCTTTTTTCTTTTTTCTTTTTTTCTTTTTGGGTCACACCCGGCAATGCACAGGAGTTACTCCTGGCTCTGCACTCAGGAATTACTCCTGGTGGTGCCCAGAGGACAATATGGGATGCCAGAATTTGAACCCGGGTTGGCTGGCTGTGTGCAAGGCAAACACCCTACCCGCTATGCTATTGCTCCAGCCCCTGAATTGTATTTTTAAATCAACATATAATGTTGGTGAAATATAATGGTGCTTCATTTTTAAATTTTATTTATTTATTTGGCGAGGGCTTTTTGGGTCCCTACCAGCGATGCACAGGGGTTCCTCCTGGCTCATGCACTCTGGAATTACTCCTGGCCGTGCTCAGGGGACCATATGGGATGCTGGGAATCGAACCCGGGTTGGCCGAGTGCAAGGCAAACGCCCTCCACACTGTGCTATCACTCCAGCCCCCTTATTTTATTTTAATTTAATCACAGGTTTTAGTAAATTTGGTAAGAGTTCTCGAGCATTTGATTTGGTGTTCTTATCTTCACCAATAATTGTTCTCGTCCTTAACCCGTAAGCAATTTCTTTAAAGATTTTAAGGTGTTGCAGGGAAAAAGGGATGGGGTGGGAAGTGGACAAGAGAGGTGTAGAAAATGATTGGGCAGTGTATGTTGTTCTTATTTTCTTTAGAAAGTAGTTGCACACTTCCCCCCACCTCCCTTAGAAGTTCTTTTTTTTTTTGGTCACATCAACAGTTCTCAGGGCTTACTTTTAGCTCTGTGCTCAGAGATCATTCCTTGTATGCTTGGGGGACCATAGGGGATTCTGGGGATCGAACTCGAGTTGGCCACATGCAAGACAAGTACCTTACCCTCTGTACTTCTATGTATTAGTATATTTCCCACTTGTCTTTTTGCAAGTACGCTTGATTCTTGAACAGTGTTCGTGGGAGGGGTGGGTATAGATGCAGACCCTTGAACAGTTGAAAACACACTCACAGCTTTCGACTCCCCCCAAATTTTGTTGTTTTGGGGCCACACCCAGCAGTGCCCAGGGCTTACACCCGGCTCTGTGCCCAGGGTGGCGTCCCTTATGGCGAGAGCTGGAGGACCATGCAGTGGCAGGACTTGAATCTGGGCTTCTTGCGTATGAAGACTGCATTCTCCCTTGGAGCTGCTCTCCAGCCCAGCTCCTCAAAAGCTAACTGCAGTCATCCTTCATTATCCTCTGGGAACCAGTTTCAGTAGACTGCAGATACCAAAATCTGTGAAAGCTCGAGTTCTTATCATCAGCCATCTGTGTCTGTGGCTTCCTCATCTGTGGCTTCAACCAGCCGATAGCTGGGATTGTTTGGATCTGTCAACGTAGAAAACTCAGACAGAAAAAGAAATTGTAGATAGTGGCTTCTTGCTGTTTTAACCTATTTTGTCATCTGTACACACATTTTATTAGGCTTTTTAAAATTTTTAATTTTTGTTTATTTACTTATTATCTCTCACACATGGCAAAGCCTGGCAAGCTACCCGTGATGTATTCGATGTGCCAAAAACAGTAACAAGTCTCAATTTGTTGTGAGACATTACTGGTGCCCGCTCGAGCAAATCGATGAACAATGGGAGGACAGTGCTACAGTGCTATTTATTTATTTATTTTGCGTTTTGGGTCACACCTGGCAATGCACAGGGGTCACTCCTGGCTCTGCACTCAGGAATTACCCCTGGCGGTGCTCAGGGGACCATATGGAATGCTGGGAATCAAACCCAGGTTTGATTTGCATGCAAGGCAAATGCCCTATGCACTGTGCTATCGCTCCAGCTTCTTAATTTTTATTTTTATTTTGGGGCTGTGTCCAGCAGTTCTCAGAGTTTGCTGTCCACTTGTTGTTGGGAACTGGGTGGTGCTGGGGATAGAGCCTGGGTTGCCACATGCAAAGCCTGCCGTGGGTCTTCTATGCCAGCTCCCAGCCCCACATTACAGTCATTCTTACAAGGTAATCTGACTCTGACTTTATAATTTTTTTCAAATTCTTGTTTATTTTCTTCTTTACAAAACTTAACTGGTTGGTTTTTAAATAGTTTGTGTTTATTTGAGCAGACTTTGTTCTGATTCATTTAGTCATCCCGCTAGCTGGCACACTTGTGACAAAACATGTTTATGGAGTGAATGAATTCTATGCATTCAGCAAGATGCTCTACGAAGTGCTAGATGATCAGAACCACAATTCATGTTTCAAGTTGTTTCAAAGAGGGTAGATGAAGAGGCAGAATGGAGTGATGGAGCCTTGAGTAGGTGAATAGTGGTTACCCATGGAAAATGGGAAGAAGTTAGGGATAACGGCACTTCAAATAGAATATTGCTAGGGAAATTGTGTACTCTGTGGTAATTCATATTGACTAGAATCCAGAATATGATGGGGGGGGTGTGGAGGGAGATAAAGAAAAGGTTCCAAAGAATTTATGTTGCAAGGGGGAGTGTAGATTTTTTTTTTCCCCTTTTTGGGTCACACCTGGCAGTGCTCAGGGATGAAAATACCTTCTTTCCCTCCCTCCCAGGCCTGCTCACTATTACATGGACCTTCAGATTAAAAATAACCAACAAGTTCATCTTCCTCATTTGCAAACCTGTTTGCCCAGTTGTGTGAATGGCACAAACATCCACCCAAACACACCTGTCGAGATCTTTCGAGGCCTCGTGTCTCTTCCCTTCCTCTCCCCTCCCACACTGTCAGGTCACCCACTGCTCCTCATTATGCACAGCCCTCTCCTCAGTTTCCCCCTTTCCTGCTCTCACCGCTGGCCCTTTCATTTAGATTGTGGACATTCTCATCTGGACTTCTCTGCGTTCTCCAACAGTTCTATGCCATTATAGTCTTTCCATGTATTCCTTTATCCCAGATACACTGCATCTACCTGATAGTCTCATGTATTAGCACTGGGCATGGCAGCTCCATGTATGTCTTAAAACGCAGCGGTGAAAATCTACAGAGGCCAGAGTGGTAATACATCAGGTAGGGCATTTGCCTTGCATGCAACCAACCCAAGGTTTGGTCCCCATCATCCCATATGTTCCCCTAAGCACCACCAGGAGTGATTCCTGAGTGCAGAGCTAGAGATACTGCCAGACTCTGCCACTTCATTTTTTTACTGAGATTCACTGAGTATAAATTACATTCATAGCATAGATGTCATATAGTCGACCGTAGTTTTTCAAATTTCTCCATTCTTTTCGCAGTACCATTGTCCTTCTTTGTTGGTGGGAAGTAAACTGACTCAGTGTCTATGGAAAACTCTGGGATTTCTAAAAAAAAAAAAAAAAAAAAAAAAAAATAGAGGGATCAGAGTGATTATGCAGTGGGTAAGGCCCTGTCTTGCACACAGTAGACTTGGGTCCGATCCCTGACATCCCATATGGTCCCCCATGTACCACCAGGAGTGATTCCTGAGTGCAAAGCCAGGAGTAACCCCTGAGCATCACCAGGTATGGATGGCCCCCCAAACAAAAAACAAACAAATGAAGTTAAAAATAGAACTACCATATCATCCAACATTTCTACTCCTAGGTTTCTGTGCCAAGAACACAAAAACACTAATTGGAAAATTATGAGCACCTTTGTTCATTGCTGTGCTGTTAACATTAGCCAACATCTAGAACAGCCTGTAAGTGCAGAGCAGTAGTACAGCAGGTAGGGCGCTAGCCTTGCAAGTGGCTGTCCAGGTTTGATCCTCAGCACCCTATATGGTCCCCCCAGTCCCACCCTGAGTAATTTCTGAGCTCAGGGCCAGGAGTAACCCCTGAGCATCCTCAGATGTGCCTCCCCACTGCATCCCTTCCCACCCCGGAAAAGAAGTTATGTCTGTGTGTGTACACATACATAGTGGATCACTACTCAGCTATAAGAAAGTAAGTCTTTCATTTTGCTACAACTTAGGTGGAACTAGAAGGTGTCATGTAAGCAAGATGAATCAGAAGGGGAAAGAGAGATACCAAACGAGCTTACTTATATGTGGTATATGAAGCAAACAGCCTGGGACTCCATGCCAGGCTATTTTCACTCGGGACGCCCCAGAGGGGGGTGGGTAAGAGCCCTCCTCACCCCAAGGGACCCAGCCCCCGAAGCTGACCTCCACTACCCAACTGCTGCCATGCTTCAGGCCACTTTCCGGACACTTCCTACCCATTTTCCATAATTACCACACCATGTTTGGAGTTCAGACAGTAGGCAACAAATCATACAGAGAACCCTGCAAGCTACCGAGAGTATCCCGCCCACATGTGCAGAGCCTGGCAAGCTCCCCGTAGCAGATTCGATAATGCCAAAAACAGTAACGACAACAGGTCTCATTCCCCTGACCCTGAAAGATCCTCCAGTTGTTGGGAAAGATGAGTAAGGAGAGGCTGCTAAAATCTCAAGGCTGGGACGAATAGAGACATTACTGGTGCCCGCTCGAGTAAATCGACAAACACCGGGATGACAGTGATACGGTGATATAAAGGAATAAGTCAGACAATAGTGTTGCAGGCAAATAAATTCCTATATTCTGATAGAGCAGAGGTTCCAGGGCAGTGAATGCATGGAAAGGGTTATGTTTTTGGTCCCAGTGTTCTTTACCACTTGCAGTGGGGAGTGAGGGGGCATCTCTTGCAGCTGGGACAACACTGAAGACCAGGTAGCTGCTCCGAAAGAGGGGGAAAGTCTTTTTACATTGGTAGAGGAATAATGGAACTACAGTGATGAGCTGCTCTAGTAACATT